TTTTTTTTCTAGTTTTTCAATAAGTAGAGTTCATAGTAGAATTTTATGTAGACCTACACATTTAGGAACAGATATTGGGTTCTGCCCAAAGTCAAGCAACATAAAAGTAACGTAAAAGTAACGAGTAACATAAAAAGTTACTTTCCAAAGGGGGTAACTAAGTAAAGTAACGGATTACTTTTTTAAGGAGTAACGAGTAACGAGAAAACACTACTTTTTAAAGGTAACTTCCCCAACACTGCAGCTAAATAAATTGCAGCAGTACATTTTATTTTCAACCAGCTACACTATACTTACACACATCTATCATACTTAAAGGGATAGCTCACCCCAAAAAAAAAGAAAATTTGGTCATCAAATTAACTAACCATCAAGTTGTTCCAAACCTGTATGAGTTTCTTTCTTCTGCTGAACACTAATGTTGGTTGACGGTAGCCATTAACTTCCATAGTAGGAAGAAAATACTATGGAAAAAACTGGTTTACTCCGCACATGTGTGCAAAAACATATTGGATTCATAGCCTCCACAAAATAGTGACTTGTGAATGTACAACAGCACGAATTAACAAGGCTAAACCTAGTTCCATTGATGCATGGCAATGTTTTTCTTCAAACATATTGGACTATATAAAGGAATGGCAATATTAAGATTTTTTTCTTGCTGCTTCTTCTTTCATATTGTTAAATTATTGACAATATGTCTGTTGCTCCCCCTTCCCTGTCTGTTTGTTTGAGTGGATGTTATTTTATTTCTAAAGACAAAGAGTTGATCACAAAAAAAGAGAAAATACTATGGAAGTCAATGGATGCCGTCAACTGTGGTTACACACATTCTTTAAAATACCTTCTTTCGTGTTGAACAGAAGAAATAAACTCATAAAGGTTTGGAACAGCAGTGTTGTGCTAGTGACTAAGAATAGTAACTTGTCACTTCATTCAAAAAGTAACTCAATTACTTTGTTGATTACTTACACCAAAAAGTAATGCGTAACTGTTAAAAGTAACTTTTTAGTTACTTAAAAAAAAAACATTCTTTAATGTTCCCATTAATGCCCTTTTATGCGTTATGGTCTACAAACACAAAACTGACTTAAACAGAAAGTAATTTTGAAACACTATTTTATTTGAGTCAGACCAGCACAAACTGAACATATCACAAGGATTTCTGAGGTGACTCGCGATGCTGACTCGCCATCTTCGCAGTAGACGCGCCAGAGAGAAATGCACATTTCATACGGATTACATAAGCAGAGAGCAGTCTGTAGTCTGTGTTCTTTCGTTTTGAATTGTTCTGTTTAAAAGTAGACATGTCTGTGAGGCAAGTAGGTTACCTTATACGCCGAGTTTCGGTTAATTTATGAGACGAGCTCCAGTTCACGCGCCGGCGCCTCCGTTTTGTGATTGTCTGCTATATTTACTTCTTATTTATTAAATCCAGGCAATTGGTTGATGAAACATTGATTAAAATTAAGATACAATTAATACAAAACGAAATTCACTTTAAAGAAAGGTTTTGTGCTTTCTGTTTGATGTCTCTGCAAGTATTAAAGCATCTTTTAGTGCCGCTTTCAGAGCGCTCACGTCCGTAACGGAGAACACGTCCGTAACATTGTTTTTTCCTCATAAATGCGAACACTAAAAATAAAATAAAAATGAATATTTTGTTCTGTGGAGACTGAGAGCCAACCCTTCTTCATTCGGTGGGTAGTAGTTTGCGCAGTGTAATTCACATAATTACTAAACAATATTTATTTTAGGCCTATAAAATTCAGCCCGTATAAATGTGCATTTTCTAAGCTTAGAAAATGGAAAAAATTCATTTGATTCTAATCATAATGTAACATTATTGTGAAATTGATTTATTTATTGGCTATTTGCTATTAGTATAGTAAATCCTTATGTTTTTATCCAACTAGGCTATGTGTGGGCCTTATGTAAAATACGGGACAAATCGCGTCCCTTATTGATTTGATACGGACGCGTCATTTTACTTGTAAATACGGGACAATTCCTTATTTTAAGGAACGGGTGGCAACCCTACCACCAACAATGCATCGCTGCTGTAAGCAGGTTAGGCTGTAGGCTACACTTCAGCCAAAATTTATTAACAACGCACCATGGTAACGGTAACGGAGTTAATTTATTTAAAAAGTAATGCGTTACAGTATGAGTTAATGTCAAAAGTAACTGCGTTACAGTAACGCGTTACTGCCCAACACTGTATAAGGGTGAGTAAATGATGATTTTTGGGTGAACTAACCCCCACCTCGCTACACTCAATGGCCTTGGGTGTTACCAAAAACTTTCAAAATACAAAGACGTGGCACTCATTTGACTTATGAATGGGAAAAAGGGCAAAGCGCAATATGGCGAAATAAGTCAATAGAGCCAATCATCGATTGGTAAAGTCATGAACAATAGAGCCAATCATCGATTGGTAAAGTCATGACATCACTGCAGCTGCTGTTAGAAGCTCAGGTTGCTATAGAAACAGTCAGTGTTTTGAGACGGGCACTTATTTTTATTTATTATTATTTTATTATTTGTTTAAGGCTGGTCCAGCCTGAAAAATAAGCTTTTTAACACTATTTGAGCATAAGAAACAACATTTACAGGACAGCTCATGTCAGATTTTAAGTGAGTTCGGCCAGCAGTTTTTACGATTTCAGGATTCCCCCCAATTATTTAGATAGGACTTGGTCTTGGATGCCCAGAGACATTGCAAATATGGCCGCCAAAAAGGACTTTGGTATTGCATACACAAACCATATATCAATTGAATCTAAAAAATAAAAAAAATTTCGTTGAAATCTAAAACAATTTTTTTTTAGGATTCTGAAAAATTCAGATAAAAATAAAAGCTATGACATTCACTCAATAAGGAATATGTCCGTATTACTAAATCAAATTTACTAAACAAATCCGTGACATTGATTATATAAAGACTGAAAGATTTTCTTGCTTTCATTGAAGCTCAAGATTCACATCAAATACTGAGACATTCTCCAAATCATGTTAATTTCACTCAAATTGCTTTGCTGATTCATCTAATTTATCATTTTTTTTTGTATTATATGTAAAAAAAAAAAAAAAAAAAAGTCTAGTAATCTCAGACTGTTGGATCCCACTGGTCTATTTTTAATAGTGAACTGCAACAATGCGTTCTGTGTGAAAATTAACTAGACGCTCGTGTGAAACGGTCACGTTTATATTTGTACCGGAACAGTGGATTTCGGCTTTGAGTATTCTTCCCAAGTGTCTGTAGTTGTCAGGAAAACACTATAAAGTCTCGAACGACGCCTTCTTTTTTTTTTACCTGTCGCTGACCCTCTTTCACTTTGACAAGATAATATAAATATAACAGAGGCAGCGCGATCGGCAAAATGTTGGTGCCATTCAACATAATGGGCAATACATCACATCAGCAAAAATGATCAAGGTCATGTCCATATATCATGAGATAAGTAAGGCATAATGTACATCCAGCCGGTTGTTCTCTCAGAATAACCCCCCGACGGGGTGATCAGCCTGAAAGGGGTTTATTCTGAGATAACAACGGACTGGATGTACATTATCCCGCTTATTACACGCCTACTTGCCACATGAGTAAATAATTAGGATACGAAATATTGATCTGAGTTGAAATACTTTATTAGGTCTTTAAACGCAAAGCTTCGCGGATAGAGCAGCGGCAAGTTCAGACTAGACGTAGACGGACATATAAGAGATACGGTTTACAGTCATACCACTCATTACACAGCATTTCAACACAGAAATAATTATGGAAATAAGAGATATTGATTTGAGATTAAACGGTTTTAAAATCGTACCTGTTTGTATCTTATAATCCAACAGTGTACAAAACAATAGTCACAAAATGGCCGCCGCTGCGTTTGTATGAAACAAGAGAGCGAGTCCACGATACCGGATGGCATAATTAAATAACTGTACACAAAATATTGATTCGACTGAGTTTTAATATTTTATTAGCTCACCAAATGCAAAACTTGCAGGAGGAAAAAACGTTCCTAGCAAGCGTATAGCGCTGATATCTGACCCGGATGAGCCTGTGTTTCTGTTCTCAGAGGTTGTTATCTGGGAATAACTTACCGCTGGATGGAGCGATTGACCAATCAGAATCAAGTATTTCACAGAGACGTGTAATAACTCAATATATGATTATCCCGACAGACCTAATGAACTCAAAATCGGGTTCATATTTTGAAACCTGACACCTCATGATGTCTTTAAAGACCAGTGTTGGGCATGTTACTTAAAAAAAGTAATTAGTTTTAGTTACTTCTCACAAATAGTAACTGAGTTAAATCATTATAAAAGTAACTAATTACCAGGGAAAGTAACTATTGGGTTACTTTTAAAAAAAAAATGTATTTGAACATTTAAAAAATACATTAAATGTATTAAATGGCCTATGTCAAATAACTTGGATGCACCCAATATTAAATATGTTAAAAATGAATGAAATGGACACTAAATAGAATAAATTATTATTATAAAACATTGTACACTAACCTACACTATTGTAATGTTGCTGTGGGACAATGTGAGAGACACCTATTAAATATTAAATATTAAATAAAATATTATCATTACTATAGAACACAAAATATTGATTCGACTGAGTTTTAATTTTCGACTGTGTTTCTGTTTTGAGCGGTTGTAATCTGGGAATAATATACCGCTGGAAAGCGCGATTGACCAATCAGAATCAAGTATTTCACAGAGACGTGTAATAACTCAATATATTGATTATCCCGACAGACCTAATGAACTCAAAATCGGGTTCATATTTTGAAACCTGACACCTCATGATGTCTTTAAAGACATACTTTAGACACACCCTTCTGACATAACTATGACCATGTCTCGAGATGTGCACTTCATGAGAAGGAAGAGGGGAAGACATCATACCAGGAAGTCCTCTTCACAAAACACTTTCCCACAGACGTAGTAAAAGGCTTTTCCCCGGAGCTTCCGACCTGCACAGAACACACAACACACACGTTTTACCACCAATTCAGCAACATCACAGGACATCGGTAAGTTATAAAAAATCTAAAAACAAAATGACTTTTCCTTATTTTATACAACAAAAGGTCTTTGCAATTATATGCAAGGTGACATCAGGGTAATGCAGATGTATTTTATTTTCATTTTAGTTAAAGTTTTGTTCATTTTGTTGTTATTTTTATTAAATGTGTCTTTATACTTTTTATTACTTTTATTAGTTATTTAGTACATACTGTATATTTAGTATATAATGTTCAATAAAAACAAATAAATAAATAAAAATGAGAAATGTTGCTTTGGCAACCAGCTGAATTAAATTAACTTTAAGCTTTTTGATATTTCGGTTAACGCTTATTTTGTTTCAAGTAACGAAAATGTTTTTTATTTTAGATTTAGTTGACTGTAACCTGGGGTCATGAGGTGTTGATAGGATTTTCTTTAAACTGTGTATTACCTTTTCTCTATAAAAGTAGGCCTACATAAGGCAATTACATGCTTTGATCTTAAGCATAATCACACAATATTGCACATTTTAAACACACTCACTGTCACAATCTTAAGTATTCTCCCTTCAGCATAAACCTTGTTAAATAAATACCTAACTGAATCTGATGCATGTTTAACAAGGTTAACAAATAAACCAGGGGCTAAACTCTAAGTACATGAGGGAAAGGTTTTAATGAATCCAATGAACACACACAGTAAACACATTAGGAAAGTGTCAGCACATGTTGCTGAGAAACTCGCTGCTGTTTTCCAGCCCGTGCTGAGGACTCCCTGTCCCAATCTGGACCTCAACAAACCCTTCCCGTTCAGACAGACCCCGTCCCACAGGAAAGGGGAACATTCCTCACATTTCTGCAGAGGGGGGTTCAGGCCATTAACCCTTATAAGCCCAAGCCTTCATGTTACAGTGGAACGCAGTCAAGCTAAACAAGTCGCCCGCTGAGATCACCCTGTGAATGAGTCTGCTGGCATTATGAATGTTTACTTTAATGCTGAAACGATCACGGCTCGTGTTTTTCCACAGACACATCGACACACGAGCCACGTGAGACGGCTTTGAGTGCTGAGACGTACACTACCATTCAAAAGCTTCGGTCCGTAAGACTTTTTAAATGTTTTTTGAAAGAAGTCTCTTTGGCAAGCCAAGACAAGGCTGTATTTATTTGATCAAAAATAAGGGAAAAATACAGTGAAACATTATTACAATTTCAAATAACGGTTTTATATTTAAATATATATATATATATATATATGAAGAGTTTGGTTCCAAAACGCGATAAACACCATTAAAAAAAAAATAGTTACTGCAAAAATCAGTATTGTATCTGGTTGGTATTGAAAAGTCAATGTTTAATTTTAAGTAAAATGCGATTTCCGCCGTGTTATTCTGTCATGTTTTCTCCCTTTCTTTCCAAACCGCGACAAACGCCAGTCTCCCTTCTCTGCAGAATGCGATATATCCCGAGTTGCCAAGTCCGCTTATAATACGCGACTTTGGGCTTTTTTTTTTAGTAAGTCGCGTTAAAAAAGCACGCGTTGCGGGTTGCGTTTTTTTGGGCTTATTAAAAAAATATGGTTGCTTGTGTTAGGAAAATCTGACAAGCAACTTTATTTTCTTTACATCTATGGTCACGGTTGCCGTTTTCTCAATCTCCAATACATTGATAGACACTGTCTGCTCACAGCCATAGCCAATCAGTGCAATTGTATAAGTGCTGTGGCGTAATTCGTCAAAACATTCCGCCGAATCTGCCCCCTTATTGGAGAAAAATCCCGTTCAACGTGCAGGCAGCCGCGCGCGCGCCACGCTGTAATCCAATGATAGACGTTGGGGAGATGATGGACAGAGCAGGCGAGAAGAGGGATGACCTTCTTTTGTAAGGTAAATTTGTCATTTTTACAATATTTTTTGTAATATATGAATTATCACAGGCTTTAATAAAAAATAAAACAAACTAGTCTATACTAACATAAGATACATATGGGTCAAATTTATTTTATTAAGATAAATAAATATACATATACTGTATATATATATATATATATATATATTATATATATAATGTGTGTGTGTGTGTGTGTGTGTGTGTGTGTGTTACATATCCCCGTCTTTTCCTGATTGTCTTTTTGTCCTTTCCATCTCTCCAAACCTTTTTTAAATCCTTTTTTTCCTAATCCGTTTATCCTTTTCTAATAAAGGAGTGGTTTCAGTTTAATTTGTTGCAGGCTCATTTATTGGTATAAAAAATAAATGATAATGCTGAAACTAAATAATCTAATAATATTGGGCTTGTTTTTGAAGCTACAGTTGCTTATTTGTCTCGCGAGAGTTGGCAACTGTGATCCGCTCTCGACCAATCACAACGCACCATTCCACGCAATGTAAACAGTAACGGCAGCGCCTTAAATACACCCGGCTTCCTAGTTTTTCTTATCTATTTTGTACTTTTCGATCAACAAACAAACAAAAAAATTAATAATTTTGAGGCATTGATGAACCTGTGGTTGTTTCTGCAGTGGGTGAGAAACGTAAGGCATCGACATCGAATCATTTACGTGAGGAGATTAAGAAGATGAGGCACTCGGGAGGAGGAAAAATGTTTTTAATCTTCTTTACAGTTCTTAATAAAAATATTATACTAATAAACTTACGTTGTTGTGTATTTTCAACAGTTTCAATATGAATTTTTTTTTTTTTTATATTGATTCAATGGATTAATTGCATTTTGATTTTTTTTTTAAATGGATTTATTGCATTTTGGGGGAAAAAATTATCTGTTTTTATAATAAATCTTTGAAAATCAAAACCTGGATTTTAATTTTTTTTTTGTTATTATGACCTAATGCTATGTGAAAGTTTGAAACAGAAAATAGTGGTTTTCATCTTTCTACTTTCTTGGTAAAGAAAACATATTTTTACTCAAATTAATCTACATGGATTTATTGCGTTTTGGAACCAAACTCTTCATATATATAAAAGTAATTTATATCCTGTGATCAAAGCTGAATTTTCAGCATCATATCTCCAGTCTTCAGTGTCACATGATCCTTCAGAAATCACTCTAATATGAGGATCTGATGCTCAAAGAACATTTCTGATTATTATTAATGTGGTAACACTTTATAATAATCTTCATTAGTTAACATTAGTTAATGTACATGAACTAACAATGAGCAATACAATCTTTGTTAATGTTAGTTAATAAAAATACAGCTGTTCATTGTTTGTTCATGTTGTAATGCTAACACATACAACCTTTGATTTTAATAAGGTATTAGTAAATGTTGAAATTAATATTAACTAAGATGAATAAATGCTATAGAAGTATTGTTCATTCTTAGTTCATGTTAGGTAGTTAGCTAATGAACCTTATTGTGAAGTGTTACCATTAATGTTGAAAGCATTATTTTTTCTAACAATATAAATGTTAAACCGTTATTTTTGATTACGTTAATGCATCAATGCTAAATAAATAAAAATCAGCAGTATGCGAGAAAAGGCATTTGTCTGGGTGAAAAGCTCACAGACAGAGATCAGTCTGTTGCCAGATGAAACAGACGTCAATCACAGGGAATGCTGGGAAGATGCGAACCACAGGACTGGGTTTAACTTTCTCCAGGGAGATGAGAGTAAATATACTGGAAGTTTTCACACACACACACACACACACACACACACACACACACACACACACACACACACACACACACACACACACACACACACACACACACACACACACACACACACACACAAAGGATTTTAGAGGCTTACGGTGACTCCAGGAAGCTCAGATATCCACAAAAAAAGCTATAAGCTAATAAAACATCTAATTTGTCTTTAGGTAGTATATTTTATAGTTACCATGTTCTGAAAACTATTATACACTTACATATTCACTGAAGGTCATCTAGATTTATTTTGTATGTTTTACAATGGCCGCTAATGAATGAGGACTTTTGAGAATTGATAGGAATGTGAGGACAGATTTATGAGCGCACACAGAAACTGCTTTCTGAATGGACGAGGGAAACATGATTCTCCAGTTTGGCTTCAGAAATATAATGTTTAAATGGACAGAAAGCATATATTTATTTTATATGAATTGTATTTCTTAAACATAATGTGTTGTATGTAATTTTTATTTTTGTGATTTTATACCTGTGGTTATCTTTAAGGTTGCCTTTTTTACATCCGGCTGGGGGACTACCGATGAAAATTAGCACTTTTGAGCTAACTCGGGTACATTTACATTGTTTTAATGTTGATTAATGTACACTGTCCCCTTTCAAATGAAGAGAAAATGAAATGAAATGAAAAGAAATACTAAAGAGACAAAAATTCAGCAATGTATCTTCTAAAAGAAATGTGAAAATGACGATGATGATAGATCGGGGTCACATGGGGTCTTCCTCACGGGAGGAAACCCGAGTAATAAATGGTCATATTTTACTTATTTTCTACCTAAAGAGTTACATGCATCTAGGTGATGTTCACCACCAAATGTTAGCAATTCAGACTAGGATTCGTTGTTTGATTTGTTATGTGACTCAGTTATCCTGTTCGATTTTTGAGACATAAGTGTTCATTGAATCGATTGTAAAATCGATTTTCCATGTCTAAAGACGTTTCCATTTTCAACACCAAATACAGGCAAATCCAGGGACACCTAAACAGGCATTAGGACCATAGACAGTATAAGAAGTGGACAGAGCCATCTCATTGTTGAGACAGTTGAAGCCCACTTTTAGCGATTTTTGAGCACTTCTGTTCCTGACGCGCAGACTCAACCCGACTCAAACTAAGCTTGATGACGTGAGCAACCTGTCTGACAGACGTTAATCTTCTAGTAGCTGTGCGTGAAAATTGCCAACGTTAATCTTGCAGAGACGGGGAACTTGAGCAAAGAGTTCTTTGGTGTGAGTGAGCAGGAGTAAGTATTCCGTTGCTTTTATGGACTCA